GCCAGAATGGAAATCCCTTGAGTTTAGCCCACACCAGAGGATGAGGCACAGTCTAAAAATAATTATTTAATTGTTAATAATGATGACCTGTACAGTAAAAAAAATATGCCTACTCTAAAAATTACACCACATAATTATTTTGTTGATTTTAGTAAATTTATTGGTTTCTAAAATTTCAACTAATCACTGAATTTTGCGGCCTTTAGTTCTCTAAAATTCACCTCATGTTGTTTTTTTTTTTTTGAACAATGGTTAGACTCCTATTTAGCCTTTTAATCAAAATATGTCAAAATTAATTAATAAACGTCAAGTTCGCTTTATCCTAAAAGCATGTTTTAGAACACTCAATGATCCTGTACAAATGCTGAAATCCACTATGTGTTCTAAAACACAAGTTGACTAAACATGATGTTCTTTGACCTGATAGGTCAAGAATGGCATTAACCAATCAGACTGCTACATCGTACTACCAACATATTGACAATCGCAAAAAGCCCAATCCCAAAAGTAAATTTTTTCACTACTGAAATTCATTTTGAACATGATGTTTTTAGAAGAGGTGATTAGTAATATTTAAAAGGTAAAACAAGTACTGAAATAGTTAACAGCTTTCATGACAACAAATGATGCACCATCTAATGTTTTTGTAATCAATGAAGTCTAAAAATTTGTAGTCTAAAAATTTGACTAGTTCAAAATTTCAACCCAATTTTGTATTCTAAAAACTATAATTATTATTTCAATTATTTAAAAGTGACTGAAATTTTAGAGTCTTTACGGTAATACTCACATTTATTTGACGCACTAAAGTTACCTGCCAATATTCTGAGGCATTCCTGTATTTTACATTTGACTTGTATATATAACTACCTACAGATAACACGCAAAGTCGCGAACCTATCAGTAGCATTCACTATATATGCTCTAAATTGCCTTACATCAGATAAGGCTGGTAGAGAATACCAAAATGGAAAATCATTCATTCATTCTCTTGCTGTCGATAAAATATTTACTATACATAAACTCTTTCCCCCTTATAAAACATTCAGTCTGCCTGATGAGATATATTTTTTATAAGAAACACATACTGTACTTCTCTACTGTACCAACTTGAGTCACGCATTTGTTTGTTGTCAGTTATGACGTTCTTTTTTGCCAGATAATGCATGGGAAGATCAATGCCAGCGTGGTGTCAGTAGTATTTTTCCACTATTAAATTATTTGAAATTGGGTTCAGTATTACATAAATGAAAAAAAAAAAGAAATATAAAAAATGCATCCTCCTTTAACAAATCAGAACATGGGCCATACTTACACAAGGCTCGCAAAAATAATTGTCCTTTTTTAAACAGGATGATAAATAACAATCAGAACATACTTCAATTTCATTCATCTACAAGAGAAAACATAAAACCAATTAAAACAAAAGTACCAAATTCTTTACACTATCAACACTGAGGGCGCTGTCTGTATATGATCACAAGTGAGCAATACATTCGCTACTTATCCTCGGGGGCGGACATCCGGGCATTTTCTACAGCCTGGCAACCTTCGCGGTGAAAACAAAGACCAAAAACTCACAGAAAACAGTACTTTGCGATGGTTGTTGAGAGTCCCCTGAACAGTGTAACAAGATTGGCCCTACGTGTGTAACATATATGAATTTGGTTGTTCAGGATTACTTCAAAGTTGAGTTTGTGTTGTTTTCTCGAGTTTTCACCGGCTCCACCGGCGTTCCACAGCAGCGCGCACAAAGCCCATAGAAATACGTGGTACAGTGGTGCCCGTCTTAGCAACGTAGAACGTCCGTGACGTAGCTCCGCCCCCGAGGATACACTATCAACACTGTAGGTGTTTTCTCAGTTCATAACTTAAACTATATATTGTTTGTTATACCATATTGTCATAGTTACAAATTGATTTAATTACCAATTCACAAACTACTGTAAACCATGTAATTTTCATTGATATAAATTTGCGTGATTTCAGAATTCTATGTCATTCACGAAGACAAACTATCTTGAAAGTTACTGACACTCCCTGACCCCAGAAAACTCCAGAAAATTCTCTTGTGCAGTTAAAGCGGTTTAGAGTACCGCTATATTATCAGTGTTTGAATGAGACATGGAGAAGTGCTGAACTGTTTTGCATAGTCTTAAATATTACATACCAGTAATACTTTCTATAAATATAATGTTTGTTTTTTTATTTTGACCTTTACACCAGAGTTTCTCGCCCAAATTTGTCTGCATTTGTTTCTTACATTCTTCAATTTTTCTGAAAATGAACCCTAAAATGTTGGGACCCACAGACAAAACTTGAGACAATTGTCAGTTTCCACTCAAAAAATTTGGCTTTTTTGTTCCAATCTTCTGAAGGAAAGTGCAGACTATTTTGTAAAATTTGTGATAAAAAGACGAAACTGGTGGTGAAAAGATTAACTGCATGAGAAGCAGTGAAATAAGATGGGATACATACATCCCACAATTTACATTCTTCCAGTGTATGTCTGGGAACATAAAATAATAAATATGTTATTTTTGATATTTACCTCATGTTCACATATTTTAATAATCATACGAGCACTGGCGGTCAATTTATGATTTCCTGGAAGAGAAACAATAACGCTTTTATTGAAGGGCTATTCAGTGTTGAAAAAGTCTCAGCTTGGATGGTTATCGCACCCTGAAACACAACACTGTTGTGGTTCATTTTCAGCGCAAGATTATTCAGGAGTCATGGTAAATGTCTCATGCAAAAACCATCAGAAATTTCATCACAGCTTTCAAAATAACAAAATGCCCACACAGTCAGCATGATTCAGAATCCAATCCAAACCAAATGATATGCAATGTACCATGATGGTGGATGTATCTACCAAGTTTTATCAAAATATATCTATGTACGAATGAAATCCAGTTTTGGAATAGTAGAAATGATCGAATTTGAGGATATCTTTCTCTTTAAAATGTGCATGTGCATATGTGTTATGATGCATGAATGAAGTTTGAGCATAAATGGTCAAGGCATGTCAGAGCTATGACTCTGCATCAGCATTTGTTTAAACAAATTGGCTATTTTGGCCATTTTATATCAGACCTGAAAATCAAAATGAAGTGTTACAGTACCACTACCATGTCTATGTTGTGCTGCAATGTCCTCTGGTAGCGACACCAAGGGAATACTTGCACAGAAATGAGAAGCCTCATTGATAACAAAAATGAATGACAGATAGTAGACAGCAGCATGGAAACTTTTTTTTCCCCTATTAAAATATTTACATATACTATACAGCGTTTTTTCTATAAAAAAATGTTAAGGGGGGGACACTTTTATTACCATTGGTAACACACTATAATTTTTATAACAGACTTTTCCTGGTTCGGAAAGAGGGCGCAAGCCCGGGATACAAGAGTGCAAGCCCCTGTTTCCTTGTCTGACAGAACCCCTCGTATAATAATATTCAAATACCAACAATTGATTTTGGACAATAGGGGAATAAATGTTATACAAGCACTTTAATGATGACTTTGAAAGTGACAATGTTTTAATGAAAATGAAAATTCTTTTAAATAACATAGAACTGATTACATCTTAATTGTAATGGTGCTATGAGAGTTTGTGTTAAATTATAAAAATGAATAAGGTTACAATCTGCGCATGCAAATCCAGCCACTAATCTATACTCAGACTTACGATATATACAAAGGTTGTCATCGTTCCTCATGCATTCTAGGGATACAAGACATACAACATAACGGGGAAGAAGGATTTGTGCAGATGTTGGCGTAGGGGCAAATGTTGATGTGGTAGGGGCAGTCAAGTGGTGGTTTGTAAGAGGGTAATGCATTACTGGTACAACGTAGTTAGATATATAAGATTAGAATAAATAAAATGAGAATATGAATAAGTAGGAAATG